CTTTTTACCTGCCGGGAACAAAATTGACTAAGGTTGCAGGTTCCTAGTCAATTTCATTCACAGTAGGTGCTGTGAGACAGCAAAGAACCTCAGTTCAGAAACAGTACTACCAACTTACAGGGCGAACCTGAAAGCAAGAGGATGGCCAGAATGGGAGAAAAGAAAAACAAGGAAGAATAAAAACTACTGCTTTTTAAAAGAATAGATTCAGCTATTTTAAAAATGGGAGAAAGATAAGAGTTAAATCTAAGACCAATTTTTATCTTCAATTTGGTAACTCACATTACTTCTGCACTGATTACACTGCCTACCCAAGTTTAATTTACTGTCTGTTACACTCAAATTGTGATTTCTGCAATTTTAGGTCTCATGGTGAGTTTTGGAATTTGTTACATAATTCTTCAATGGGAACCAGCTAGGCTAAGTTTGAGAACCACTGCATTAAAGCAATGGATAAGTACAAGTACAGTTAAGCATAAAGTGTTTTCATTATAAAACCTTAATTTCAGGGTTTTTTCTTTCCCCTCTTTCTAAAAACTTTCACAAATTGGGAAAAGAAACTTAATGTAAGAGCCCTTGACATGAAAAAAACTAATGATACAGAAAGAAAATGATCTCATTTTTATAAATAGTTCCAAAGGCTAAGGATAGCCTCATGTTATTTGGATACATTTCTCACTTTCCTTCATTTATATACCTCAACCTGAAACTTAAAAAAACAAAAACAAAGAATAATCTAGTGCCTTCATATACAGCATATACTCAATAAACCTGTAGAATCAATGAATAGTTAGTAGGTCGCAAATGATTAAATATGGACCTTTGTAAAATTAATATCTAAGTCTAGTCCTCACAGCAAAACTTTAAAGGTATGTCTGCATCAGTGGTGCTGATTAAAAAGTGGGCTCAGTTCACCCACCTTGTCACTTTCACCTTATATCAGTGAAGAAAAATTCTATTGAACACAATGGAAGATCAAAGCTGTTCATTCATTATTCTTAGGTAACCACTATAAAACAATATTATCCTGATGCATACACCAATAAATTAACTAAACCGTGTTATCCTTTAATGAAGTATTTTTCAAACTACAGGTCTAAATCAATAAATTTAGTACATAATGGTCAACATTTAAGACAATGAAATGTAGTAAGAGAAGGGAAGGTGCTAGTTCATAAAATCTTAGTTTCAGTTAATCATCTCTACCTATGTTTGTACTGGATTGTAATACTGAATGAATTTCTTACCATAGGTTAACTATCATAAAAGCATGAATGTGCTGCTACAGTGGCAGCATGAGAGAGAAAGCACATCTTGGAATCAGTCAGACTTGATTTAGAATCTTAGCTACTAGCTATGTGACCCTTGATAAATGATCTCTTTCAGCTTCAGCTTCTTCATAAGCAAGCAGAACCAATTCTTAACTCTAAGGGTTTTGGTGAGAAAATCAGAGGTAATGTAAAGTGCCTCACACTATACCTGATATGTAGTCGGCACTCTTGGCTGTTACAACTTTCAGTAATCAATTTAAACATGAAGTTTGAAGAACTGTTACAAACTAATAGCTAAAATAATATATTTGAAAGATGCTAATGGAGTCTATTTTGTTCAAGGCATTCAGAGGGATACAGAGAACATGAAGTAACAGCACATGTTTGTATCTACAGAGTATGTCATCATGAAATTCAAGAAGACTATAAAGGAAAATCTGTCATGGTTTCATTTATGGATCTAAGAGCAAATAAGATTATAATACAAGATAGTCATTAAAACTGAAAACTGACACTAATCATAGTTTTTCACCCATTTTTATCAATGATTATATTGCAACATTACCACTTGAAAATAACCTATTTTCCCAGTAGTTACTTCCAGAGTAAACACATGAAAATAAACATCCGAAGTAAGCAAAATCACTCTCCTAAAAGTAATTAATTCCTTCACCAAATATTTATTGAGTACTTACTACAGGCCAGGCACTATTCAGACCAGGCATTACTGCACTGAAGAAGAAAGAGTCCCTGTTCTCATGGAAATTTGGCAAAGAAGGTAAAGTATGATGATGCTAAAGCCTTTCCCCAAATAATTTCAAACTGAAAAGAATACAGTTTATCACATACTTCTCGTCATCTGCTTATCTAACAAATCATGATCACTCTATAATTTTTTAATTACATGCAAAATAAAAATGGAAAAAAAGTTTTTTGAAATATGTCAGACTTAAATATGCACTATACATCAAATTAGTTCAAAGGCAATGTTACATGTTTATATTTTAAAATTTATATGCATCTCAAAAGTAAGCAATTAAAAATGAAAATTTCAAGAAGGATATAAAACCATACATGTATGTATATACAGGGGTGGGCAAAAGTAGGTTTAAGTAGGAAAATAATACAATAAATAGTAATACAAGAATAAACTGTGTTTAATGTACTCACAACTGTAAACCTCATTTTACCTACCCCTGTATATGTGTGTGTACACACATATATAGAATTTCTGGAAAAACATATCATAGATAACTGACTGAAAACAAAATACGAACAATGGCTATTACACAGTGGTATCACAGACATTTACTTCCTCTTTATATCCTCTCTGTATTTTCTAAATTCTCTATCATATACTATTATCATGATTAGAAAAAATAATTTTAAAAAATGAAAGTCTTCACTTAAACTGAATTATAGATATATTACAACAGGCATTACCCAAAATAGTTTCAGAACACTTTACATTTCAAATAATCTAAAATGTATTTTGTAAGTATAGTGGTATAACTAAAAATAAATCTCCAAATTATCAGATGGAGGAAAAAAAGCCTGACTGGTTGAGTGACTGTTAATCCTCACCCAAGGGTATTTTTTTCCATTGACTTTTTTTTTAGGGACAGTGGAAGGGAGGGGGAGAGACACAAAGAGAGAAACATCAATGTGAGAGAGACACATCGATTGGTTGCCTCCCGCATGTGCCCCAACCAGGGCCAGGGTCAAGCCTGCAACTGAGGTGCATGCCTTTGACTGAAATTGAACCCTTGACCCTTCAGTCCAAGGGCTGATGCTCCAACCACTGAGACAAACCGGCTACGACCTGATTTATTTTTTAAATGTTATTGGTTCCTCATTTGGCGATTTTGCTCACTTTCTGAGTTAACATATCTAATAATGTGGCTCCAGAAGGACAGACATTATAATACTTGACTTAATATACTAGTTAATAAAATAACATTTCCTGGAAATTATGGAATCCTGCAGTATTAGTATTCTCCATACTGATAGTTCAACACTATCTTTTCTTTTTTAAGTTGCTTATATCTCAAACAAATTTACCATCAGTGTGTGTTTTCCTGATAAGATGAGGATTTTGCACCTTTTAAAGCTATCTTACCAATCAACGGAGCAGCAGTAATAAAAAAAAATGTATCCATAGAAATGAACATTTACATGATCAAGTAAAAGAAATACTTAAATAAAATGTTACCCTGATTTCCTCAAGTTTTTCAAAGTGTAATTGTATGTATGATAATGTCAACTCCTTTGGGAACAAGATGAAAGGGAAAAGAAAAATTTAAGGTATTAATTTCATTTCTCTCAGTGGGCAGAAAAAGGAGAATTGTTAAAAGTGTATGTGATGATCTACTACCAAATTGTAAAATAGTTAGATTAACTTTTTGAGTTACATATATAAACATGACAGTTTAAAGACTTTCTTTGGTAATAGTTACGGATTTTAAGGATCCCTCCTCCCCCTAACTTTTGTTTACCTGTATTTTCTGGGATTTCTGTAATGAATATTACTTTTGTTTCTCCTTAAGGCAGAAACATAGTAATTTAACTGAAATTTAAAAAATAAATTACACTTTGATAGTTTTTATGTTTAATATTCTATAACTAAATAGGAATAAATTTTCCTGGCTAAGGAGAAAAAATGTTCCTTATGCACAGACTGCTAAAAGGATATTTTATTAGGGGTCCACAATTTCAAAGTATGAACAACTCTAAAATCCATATAACTTGTTTGGTGGTAAACCCAGACATGACCAGTGGTAAAGCTATTTATAATATTATTTATCTTACTTAATTTGAATGTTCATATATTCTGCTGCCCAAATATTAATGCCCAAGAAGTTGCTGCAGTGTTTATATATGGTATATACACATTACACTTTTCTGAAATCTGAAGAATTCTGATTTCAAATACATACACGACTCCAAAGTTCCAGATAAAAAACTATACATCTGTATCAGGGATCTTATGTAGACCTCCTATATGTACGACAAAAATTAGCCTCACTGGGAAAAACAAGAACTATCGTATTTATTAGCTTTATGCTTGAATCATCAGCTAGTTGATGGGATTAAAAAATTAGTCCCCAATGTGAAAATGGTAACTCCTTCAGGTTTAAGAATTAAAGGACTCCACATTCAATATAATGTGTGTATGTATTTCCCTCCATTACACTCAGATTAAAGGCTTCTATATAATCAACATAGTACAGCCCTTTGATCACAAAAGAGGAAGTTTAAGAATTAGATCTAGAATTGTTCATTAATATGGATAATAATTATAGCATTACAATGTATCAGAATACAGCAGGCTCTACGGAAAATAATTTACATGATTTCATTCACTGTGCGATGCATGCTCTTTTTGGGAAGAATTTTACGCTCAACAACAGAGAAATAAAACATTCCTAAGCAAATCTGCTTCTAAAACTGTACATATTAATGACAAAATGAAGACTGACTTAAACTTATGTCAACAAAATTAAAACATACATACAGCTTATACTTTAACTTTTTTTAAAAGAGAAAGTGTTAAAACTCTAAAAAACAAATACATAAATATAGAAACCCTAAAGCATTATGTTTTTCCCCCTAAATATGCATGCCAAAGAATAAAAACAAAAAAGCATGGGGGGAAAAGGGAAACAATCCACTTATTAAAAAATAAGGGGGAGCAGGAAGATTAATGACAATCATATTAAGGATATTCACCTTCTTTGGGTTGAGCCATAACTGGGGTCTGAGTTTCCTTTGTATATGTCACGATTTCTCGAGGAGGAAAGTCAACTTGTGTAATTTTAGCCATTCCAAGTTTAATAGGTCCTCGTCTAAATAAAGTGAACACAAATGTTTTAAAATACAACAAATGATACACTACATCAAACCATGTTATTTTGGAAAAGTGAGAATTAAACATTGTGTACCCAACATTGTAATTTAAATCCCCGTTTTACTCAAGAAATTTTAGATGAACAATGAATTGGTTTTATCTTAACAAAAGAGTTAGAAGGTAGAAAGAACAAAAGATATTTATGAATCATTCAAGGTATTTACTTTTCACTTTAAGAAAGCAAATAATTTAGTTTCTTAGAGCAAATGCGTGGGCAATAATAGAGTAAGAAGATAGGAATTTCAGAGCAGTCTGCTGAATATGGTTGGTTATGAGAATTTTTTTTTTCTAGCAGGGATATGATTCTGGACTGTTTTTAAGAGTCAGATAATATGGATCTCACTCAGATCACTTTCAGTTCCCTCCACATTAGGAGACTTCACTTGTAAGACAGAAAAGTAACTTTCTGTTGAAAACCTTTTTCTCCGCTTGTATTTTGTAGAAATTGAAAATCATACAGTCAACTTAGATTTTAAAATAAAAATTTAAACTTAAATTGCTAATATCTGCATGGTACATGTTGTCCTCAATTCATATATGGACAAACTATAGTGCAGATACTTTATACTTAAACTAAAGCAACAGATTTTTTTAATACTATAATACTACTAGTTACTTCTATTTTAAATAGCGGGAAAGCATTCCTTTTTGTTAAACAGAAGAAAGTTGTGGCTGAGTAAAATGGACCTACTGAAAAATATCTTTTATTAGATATCTGGGGGATCTTTTCTTGGTTATTATTTTTAAATTCTAAACCAAATAAAGTATGCATCCAAACTCCCAAAGAAGTTCTCAGTTATGAGGCGGTCTTAAAAGGATATTTAATAAAGACATTGCTGTAACCTCTAGAATATCAAGCAGGATATCTGGAATATACATATAGACCACTGGTAATACAACAACTTTTTTCTTATATAAACATCCTTTTCAAAATACTGTACAAAAATGTATAATAAAACTAGTACATTTAAGAAGTTAATTTTCTCTAAGGTCCTAAATGTGGGCCATAAGAAATTTAGGAATATGTTAGCCTTAAAGAAAGAAAAAGAGCATAATTGAAGAGTTAAATGAGAAATTTTAAGTACATTTAAGTAATCTAGTATTCTAATAATAAAATTTAAAATAAGAAACATTATATTCTGATTTTTATGATGTGAATCATATCTGGGAAAAATGGTCAGGCTAACATTAGGACAAGTTACTAACTTGAGTACAAATAGGATCTAATAGATAAAAATCACAATATTAGAACAAACAAAATATTCTAAGATTTAAAGGTAGAAGGGTAGGGAGGTAATACCTCACTTATCCAAAAGCCAATTTATTGAGAATAAGGAAGCAACTGGGGATGGGAGAGCCTTGGGGCAGCCGATAGAGAGGCCATTCCAGCTAATGTACAAGAAGCTCATATACTTCTCTTATCTGCAATTCAAGGCTTATTTATTCTTACTTTAAACGTAATTCCAAAGGTATTGGTCCTATGTTTTAAAGCTGCAAATTATCAAGGGAAAAGAGCTATCTTAGTAGGGCACAGTGGCAGCAGCAAACATTTATATTTTGCATTGGGGGCTAGAATAAATAAATGAACTAATAAATGAATAAGCCAATAGTAATCTGGGGCCATAGTATAGAGACCAACAGCTCTGTTCCTCTCAAAACATTAGAAATCATTGCTGAATTTTAATATAGGAAAATAAATTAATATTCATAGTGAAAAACCCAGAAAAGATTCAATTACATGTAGAATATGTGTTAAAAGTCTGGGAACTTTGTAATACATCTTTTAAAAACTTACACCAAAAATATAGAAATAATAAAAGGAATCTAGACACTTAAATGGGCAGATTTAGGATACCTAGAAAATCAGATACATAAAATATTTCTTTCACAAAATGATAGAGGATAAATGAGGTGTCACAGTAAAATATAACTCTTTTCCTAACTATATACTGCATATCACAAATTTAAGCAAAATGAAATTAGGACAGTTTCACAAAGAATCAATTTAATTATAAAAAAGGGAAGGTAATAAATCTATTCAATACCCCAAATCGGAATCTGAGTGAAGCTGAAGAACTGATGGATCTGTATCCCAATGCAGCGTCCTAAATGGTTGTAGGACAACCATGAAGCGTTAGCAGAAAAGGCCATAAGTTAGTCAAGCAAATACACTCTACGAATAGCTAAAGTACTGTTCATAATTAAAAACCACATATTCTGGTTAGTATGAAAAAAACACCAAGTATCACTCAACGCTCTAGTGCATGCAATAAGCATAATACAGTTAAAGATGCAAACATATAACCTGGAATAGCTAAAAGACAGTATTTTCAGATTAAGGGAAACTAATATTGCACAGTAATGGATAAGAACAGCCAAGCATTCAACAACACAAATAATATATTATTTTTGGATAACAAGGCAGGCTATAAAAATAGTTTAAAATTAAGTTTTCTAATTTAAAAAACACTAGTAAAAACATTTTAGCTAACATATTATAACCTTGCCCAAAGCATTAAATGTGTGCAGGAAACTGTCATATTGGTAAAGGAAATGAGTCAACACGTAAGCCTTTCGGTAAAAAAGCCAAAGACTATTCCACTGGGAAATAAAATAGCTAAAGTTTCCAAAATGTGACCCTTATGTAATTTATGGGTTAAGCACTGCCTTGGGCTTACATGTCATCTGCTTTAGAAAGCAGCTAAAGATTTCTGTCTCTAGGAAAAAATAGACTTTTCCCAGGAAAAATATTTTATGTTCAAAAGGCTTACTTAAACTAAATTTTGGAGAATATTGACCCTAAATAAACATTCAGTTGTTCTTTAGCCTTGCCTACTACTGAGATCTTTTCCACTTAAGTGAGATCTAGTCATTACTAAAGCAAAAGGTACTTTGTCACATTGGCATTCTTATAGGTTAGTGATATATAAAATAATTACGTACAGTACTGTATGATGCTCACAGTCCCTATTAAAAAGTTAAGCACAATATATTCAGTGCTATCATTTTGTCAAAATATTAGTTTCTCAATAAGTTATAATGTACAACTAAAACTGTTACAATATTTAAATACAACAAATTATTTCTGTACTTTACTTGCTTATACAATTTATCAATAAAAACAATCAGCTGACTTTAACTAGAGGAATTCTTCATTTTGGAAATATGAAGAAAGATCTTAAGATTTAAACAGTATTGTGTGTATGCAAAGAAAAAGGAGGCCACGGTGAAAATTTACTTTGTACAAAGCAACGAATTTGTACAAAGGCTTTGTTAAACCAGAAACGGTTCTATGAGATGCTCTCCAACAAATGTTCTGTCCACAGCCTTTACATTATATGAGAGCTCTAGCTGTTATCAGTGACATAGAACTCCTTGTTGAGGATGTCATTTTAGTCTAACATCAAGTAAAACTTTGCTGCAAAATACAGCCAGTTCAGAAAACATACTGAACAACATATGGGATTATATTTATTAAAGGCATGTGCAGACATATAAAGTAAAATTCCAATATAATCCAAACGCCTGAGAGGGAAACTAATCAAGAAAGGAAAAAGGAGTAAGAGGCATGGATTTCCCAACAGGATAACTGATTCCACCTAAATTTTAGAGTTAATTCTGTGACTGAGAAAGTGAACTAGAAACCTAATGAAATGTAATTTCCTAATCTGCAAAGTTAGAGAAATATCATTTTTCATGGCCTTTTATATTTATTCATAAATTACCACCAGGCCCAATAGAAATTTTTGGCATTTAGAAATAGTGATTTTGACATGTTTCGATATATTTGATAATGTCTAATACAGCTTTTCCCTCTCCTCGAGCATACTAATCTTACACTGTTTTGGCCATCTCACACATCTTCATGCATTTTCCTGTGGCATTTCTTCTTTTTCTCTTTATTCTTTCATTATTATCATGCCTGCTCAATTTGAGTTCATTCCCAGACCCTATTCTTTTTCAAAGCCATATATTTAGAAGTGCTATTATTTTATTGCCAATAGCACCAATTAATCAACAATATTAATTATCTTTCTACTATGGAATCTGGAGATAATTTAGTGGAAATCATAGTTTTCTACTCTTGTGTGTGTGTATATGTATGTATATTTATATTTATATATACATATATGAAATGAACATACTCAGCCCTCTTGAAAATTGTTTAAAATGAGTTTAAAGGAGACAATGTATGTACTAAGATTAAAAAGGTATGTCACCTCATTCAAAAAGAGGAAATTTTCCCTCCACTGTTAAACTTAGAAGAAACTAATTTTGTATTCACTCTCCAATAAGAACAAATACCCCTAAAGATATTTAAATACCTATTTTCTTGCTTTACAACTTATTATTAAAAATCTACACTTTAAACACAAGTTAGTATACTATCACTAGAACTTTTTAATACAGTGAATAACATCCTCAAAAAAAATAAAGCATAGTTGATATAATAGTATATGCGTTTCAGGTGTACAACAGTTTTTCAACATTTATATACCTTACGAAGTGATCACAGTGGTAAGTCTAGTAACCATCTGTCACAGTACAAAGTTGTTACAATACTACTAACACTATTCCCCAGCTGTGCATTACATTTCCAAGCCTTATTTCATAACTGGAAGTGTGTGTCTCTTATGCCCCTTCACCTTTTTGCCCACCCCATCCCCTTCCCTGTGGCCACCATCATTTGTCTCTGTGTTACGAGTCTGTTTCTGTTTTGCGTGCTCAGTTGTTTTGTTCTTCCGGTTCTGCATGCAAGTGAAACCATTTTGTCTTTTCTTTGCCTGACTTATTTTATTTAGCCTAAGACCCTCTAAGTCCACCCATGTTGGCACAAGTGGTAAGACCTCATTCTTTATGTATGTATACCATGTCTCCTTTACCCATCTATCCATGAACAATTATGCTGATTCCATATCTTGGCTATTGTGAACAATGCTGCAATGATAATAAGGGTGCATATTCAAATTAATGTTTTCACTGTCTTCAGAGAGATACGTAGGAGTGAAGTTCCTGGATCACATAGTAATTCTATTTTTAGTTTTCTGAGGAACCTACATACTGTTTTCCATAGTGGCTGCAACAATTTGCAATCCTACCAACAGTGCACAAGCGCTCCCTTTTCTACACATCCTCACCAGTACTTATTATTTATTGTCTTTCTGTGAGGTAACACCTCACTGTGGTTTTGATTTGCATTTCCATGATGATTAGTGATGTTGAGCATGTTTTCATGTGTCAGTTGGCCATCTGCATCTGTGTCTATTCAGGTCCTCTGCCCATTTTTTAGCTAGATTGTTTTTTGATGTTGAGTTTATGAGTTCTTTATATATTTTAGGTATTAAACCCTTATCAATATATCATTTGTGAATATCTTCTCCCATAAATTAATGATGTAATCACTAGAATGTAGGTTCCATGATGGAAAGAGTCAGGAACACTTTCTTTTCTGTGGTAATCTATAGTACTTAACATTAAATTGGCAATTCAGTGGTTATGTATTCTACAGAGTGCGGCAAAAGTAGGCTTACAGTTGTTCATATGGAAAAACAATAATAAATAAATAATACAAGAATAAATCCTTTGCATATTCACAACTGTAAACCTACTTTTGCCCCACCCTGTATATACAAATAAATATTTTTTTTAATAATATTTACTCCTTGTACCAATTTACAATATTCAAATAGGTCTCTAATAATCTCTAGGTTTCCCAATGAAACTGATGGGGATATGTTTTAATTCATATTAATTTTAAAAACCAAACAGATGTTACATACTACTTTTGAAAGCAAACTTGCTGATGTTGCATTAAAATAACCTTTCTACTCCTATTCAAAATCAAGAAAACTGAATTTGTAATGAATATAGTATATTATATACATTAAAGTAATGTATAATATCAAATAAAGAAATTTAATAAATATAATTATTTTTTATTTTGGGAAATATTTTTACTATGGTAATGTTGCAAAAGGAAGAAAAAAAAAAAACCCTTCACCTGAAAATAGCACTTGCTTATTGGCCAAAAAAAAAAATACTAACATATTTGTATAAAACCACAGAAGTATGAATATTAAAAAAATTAATTTAGCCTTAAAGCTAAACTTAGACTAAATAATCTATAATACATACTATTGTATAAGGAAATAGTATTTCTAAAAAGAAAACTTTGATTTGTCTTAAATGATAAGAGTTATGTCATTTACCTCCAATGACAGTATTGCTTAGATTTGAAATTTTGGTTCTACATACAGAACTGTTTTGGAAAGCCATCTCAAATTCAAACTGAACCTTTTGTGCCTTCTAATTATTAATGATAACCTGATTATTCAGGAATAGTAAGTACTACACTTATGGATTATCTAGCTCTCTTCCTCACTCTTTTCTTGCCTGTTTTTAGATACTCATTACATCTCTGTAACTTCAATCAGAGGGGCTCAGGCACAAAGAAGATAAAAACTTCTCAGTTTGTTTCTTATTTAAAAAAAAAAAAAAAAAAAAAAGGTGTATTAAGAGATTTTTCTGAGACGGACATTTAACTTACTGGCCCAAAAGAAGGATTCTAAATAAAGATTTTAACTACCTATGTTTAATCTCATTTCAGCTGTCACAGGAAGTCAAAAAGTGCAATGGAAGACTTGCTATTAGTGTGTGTGTGTGTGTGTGTGTGTGTGTGTGTGAGAGAGAGAGAGAGAGAGAGAGAGAGAGAGAGAGAGAGAGAGAGAGAAGTAATAATACTTTTCTCAACACAATTTTTGGAAAGAAGCTGAAATCTTACTGAACTTTTGAAAAGCAAGACCCAACAAGTTGCAGGATCCTAAAATAAACAAATACAGTTTCACAGGAAGATGCAAATTCAGGAAAACTTGGAAGTAAACATTCTTTTCTTTTTTCATTGAGGTATAATTGACATATAACATTTTGTTAGTTTCAGGTATACAACATAATGATTCCATATTTGTATATATAGTGAAATGATCACCACAATACATCTAGTTAACATCATCACCATACATAGTTAAATTTATTTTTCTTGTGGTAAGACCTTTAAAGGTCTATTCTCTTAGCAACTTTCAAATACACAATACAGCATTATTAACTATAGTCACCACACTGCACATCACATCCCCAGGACTTACTTTATTGGAAGTTTGTGCCTTTTGACTCCCCTTCACCCATTTTGCCCATCTCCTGCCCCCCATCTCTGGCAACCACCAATCTGTTCTATGAGCAAATTTATTTTTTAAGATTCCACATATAAGTGAGATTATACAATATTTGTCTTTCTTTGAATTATTTTACTTAGCATGATGCCCTCAAGGCAGTGAAAAACTTAATGTTTCCTTAGCAGTCACTCCTTATTCTTGGTATTTTATGCATTACTATTCTCTATCTTAATCAGAACTAGTGAATTAATAGAACAGAATTAGGCTTTTTAACTGTATTATTGAGATTTTCAATTACTAAATGGGGAATTAAGCACAACAGGGAGGTTTTACACTATTTATACCCCAAACAGTCACATATTAACCAATATCAAGTGTGCTTAAACAGAAAACATTCATATAAATTAACAACTCTATTTTAATATAAAATAATTAGCGTAAAATCAGTTAACTATTCAATACTAAATTAATCAAATGTGACAGTTAAAATTGTAAAGAAAAAAATTTCCCCAATTTGCAACAAACAATTTCTGTGCCATTTAGATTTCAAAATATTAAGACTAACTCAACGTAACTATTTAGAGACCCCCTAAAACACTGACAGTATCTGGGCACTAAATGCACCCTATCCTTAAAATATTAAAAGAAAATTACTGTACCTAGATCCCACTGCGCCATCTCCAGAGTCTTGGCTTCCAGCTTCACTCGGTGTGCTCACAGACTTGGAAGATGGAGACATAGGAGGAGGGACTAAATAGTGAAACAGACAGGTATCCGCTGTTACTACACGGAGAGGCTGCTCAGCTTATGACGTTTCAAAAGTAATTTAACATGAAGTAATTAACAAAAAAGAAAAAATAATGGCAAACCAAAAAACAAAAACACATGAATGAAAATGACAGCAGAAAGAAGAGGAGAAAGACAAAGTTAACGATGCATGCTGACGAGTCAGGCAGCTTCTCGGGCAAATGCATTTGGGCTTTATATTTAAAAAGAGCAAGGTTATAAAAGGATGCATCTTCGTCTCAGTCAACACCAAATGCAGGCACTAATTTTCAAAGGAGAGCATTCCTTCTCCCCTTTCTAATTTCTCACTTTTAAGATCACCAGGTAACAAATAATATTTATAATTTCTGTCAAAACCAAAACTCTAAAATATGCTTCAAAGGTCATGAGCTCTCTGGTTTTCTGAGATTTATTTTTAAATGTTAATTTTTGCCTAACATTTTTTCTTTAAAAAATGTCTTAAATTTAATTTTCTTCCCATCAAAAAATAAAGGCCAATTTATAGAAATGATTAAAGGAACGGCTCCTTTAAAATGTCCATTAGTTTCCAGCAATTTGGGTGGAAAGTGCAAACAGGCCATAAAACAGCATGCCCTCTATACATGATGCATAACATAAAGTGATGCATGCAACTTAGACAAGGCAAGACTTATGGTAACTTCCTTACCCCAGTATTCAGAAAAAACTGAAGTGTACAGACAAAGATACAGACACCCAAAATATTCTTAATCCCTTCTTATAGAAAAATACACATTTTTCATAGTATATACAACAAACAGCAAATGCTTTCCCCTAAACTGTCACTTATAACACTATATACCAACAGTTGAGCGTGCACATTTCATGCTATTACATTTGTAAAACTTTTTGATTACCATTGCAGGGAGTATAGGAGGATCATCACTGCCATCTTCTGGTTAAATTTTACCATAATTGTCCCCAATCCCAAGTATCTTTTTAAAATAATTTTTCAATGCACAATATTAAGTGACTAATACATTTTATGTTGAGCTGCAAGTCCTTCTTTTACTAGTCTACTGAAAAGCAGGGAAGTTCCCAGTTATATAGGAACTAAAGAAATGTATTTAATTAAAAGCTTGTGTTTGGAATAGTCCCATTCACTGAACTCTTAAAAATATGTTTAAATGTTTATACATGCTGCAGTAGAAACAGTGTTGCTAACCTAACGAAAGGTACAAGTTTAGTACGATGAATTACATCTTAAACATAAGTGCACAACTGATCATCCTATTTCTTCAGTGGCAAATTCTATCAGTAAACCAGTAAGATTAGAAGAAGAAAAATCATAGCTAGAATTTTTTCTGAGATAGTGATTATTACTTAAATTCCAAAGGATTATGAAAACATAATAAAATGTTTCTAATTTTGTGATTAAATCTCTCAGAAACAATGATAAAACTAAATTGCCTTCATATACTGGGTGTCTCCAAAAAAATGTATGCATACTTTAACAGCTGATAGCTCCATTTTGAAAATGAAATGTATTTTAATAAATACTGCCTTTATAATTATTACAAGTGTGTGTATACATTTTGGGGGGACACCCTATAGTTCACATGCAGATGGCACTGTGCTAGGTGTTGTATGTATAACTCAAAGTAGCTAAAAATAACTTGTATCTGAAATAAAACGTTAATATCCTTTAACTTCTCTTATGTTACATTTCCTCATCTTTTTGTCCACCTCTCACTATAAGGCTTCCCTTAGATTAAGATCCAAAGGGACAGGAATAAAGAGCAATATCTAACAGTGGTTTACCACTATAAGCACAAATACATGTTTATTAAATCATAATGGGGCAACAAAATGTTTTCATAGTAAAGGTTTTCAAAGGAGAAATTTTGTATTCTTTAAATTACATACTTAACTTCATGCTTAGAAAAATAATTTTTCTAAGTAACCTATTAGAAAGGTTGGAGAAAAATAGCAATATTCCTCTCCATTTAATTATTTGTGATGAACTATAAAATTTTTTTCCAGTGTAATATGATTTTTCCCCGTTTCTAGTGACTTCAAATATCAATGACTCCATTCAACAGTTCAACATTACCTTTCTTGGTTAAGACTATGTTAAAATACACACACACACACACACACACACATATATATAACCTCAAATTCTTTATGGAAATATATTAAATAGTAATTATACATACATACATAAATACACTAACAGCCAATTCTGAAATGAAAGTTTCAGAAATAAAAAATACATCATAGGGGTGATGCTACCAAATTATTAGTTTCTCAGCCAGAAGCAAAATAAATCACAACTTCAAATTTGTAATTAGATAAAAATCTCCACCCCAAAACTATATTCTTTCTGGGGGGGAAAAAAAAGTTTCCAAGCCGGATGATGAAAAGGACTTATTAAGGACTCAGAGTTATTTTCTGATCTACCAACTTCATCCTCAATAATAAATAATGTATACTACAAGAAGGAACAAACCTAAAAAAGGGAAGTTACTATTATTGAAAAAGGAAGATGGTTAATAGGTAAAAAAAAGGGAACGGTAGCTTTATTTGATGACTACCATATTTTAACCCAATTAGTCTAGAAAAATCAAAGAATACAGTAATTGCAGAATAAGTCAATGCCACCACACTCCCAAACTCCAACAAATGATCCCTAAGAACAAACAAAAGCATGCCTTTATGGAGATTTAAAAAAACACCACACTGAACAATTAATTACCTGCCAAATCTCTGAAAAGACTCAATTCTAGAATTCATTTTTAAAGCTGGGTTAAGAGTCCAATCAGCTTTGAAAATAATATGTTATTAATAATACATGATTTGCTTAATAACAACAGTGATTCAATCAGATCACCTTACTACACTGTTCTGTATATAAAACAGTGTAAATGAATTTAAACTTCTTAGAAGTTTAGAGCAAAGAGACCTATTTCCTTCTTTGAGAAACGATGGAGAAATATGAAGTAAACTGAAAAACAAATCTACACCATAGCATTCACTGATCATGTAATACTGAAAAGCTGTGACTCATTCTCTAGGACAAAAAGCCAATCAAGAAGGCCTTTCCCACCAGCTTAGATTTTGGCCTTCTAGGGATATAAAATTAACATTGCTGCCTTTTGGCCTGTGAAGTAACAACTAGAATATTCTTAAAGCACAAAGGACCCGGGAATGTACCTAGATTCAGAATTAGAATGAAATTTGAGTCAACCACTGAGAACCACACAGAAGTCTCAGAGATAAAGGATGCTGCACAGCCCAATTATTTTTCAAGTGGAAGAAAGCTTCTGGCAAGAAGGGGCTTTTCCAGAAAGAAGGACCTAGAAAGGTGGACAGTCAAGGAAAATAAATGCAGGGAATGGAAGTGTTGGTAGAAGACAGTGATATGGAAGGAGTGAGCTTTTGAGATAACCTGAAATTGTGAGGTCTCTTCTAGGATACTTAGTATTCAAACACAGCCTTTGTTACAATTATGCCCCCTTGTGGACACAAATGATCCTAGCCTGGAATATTAATAACTAACTTCATACCTTACTCTTTTTGTCTTGAAAGCTGTTGCTTTTAACCTTAAATCTCTGAAAACTATTAATTTCTCCCTTTTCTGTGGCCCCTTCTCCTGATAATAAAGTTTATCCTCCATTATTCTCCCCTAAATGTTTCCTTTCCTTCTTTCTCTTCTATATAATTCAGAGCATCAGATAAATTTTTAAAAAGAAATTAAAAATAAAATTTTATAGAATTAAAATTCTGTAAGAAACTATTAAAATTAGACTAAAATCACTTGAAAAAAATGACTTGGCACATGGAAAGCATTCTATCTAAAAATCATATTTAAAATATTCAAAAATTACAAAAGGGGAAAAAATGAAGCAATACTTATCTTGACTAGCAAATTTCTTTTGTTTCTTCTTAAAGAAAATCTAGATAATAAACTATCACATTAATCAATTTACCCTATCCAATTGATACAGACTCAGGCTACAGAGTAATTCACAATGTTTTCATCTCTACAAGATGGTTAAAACAGTAGTTACATACACAAAAAGGGATTCACTTTAATTTTTCGACCATCAATGTTTAAGAACTCCATATTTGATACAATATGTCTGGAATGCTGTGTCTAAAATTAACTTTCTTAAGACTTATCACTTAAATTTAGGTTTTTTAAAAAGAGCCATAGTGGAAATTTCCACTATGCATTTTCCTAAAATTTAAACAGTAAGATTTTGCTGTTGCTTTTAAAGCAGAATGGCTATTATTTGGCCTTACCAGTTATAAAGACATATGACCTAATAACAAATGAACAAGCATTTAAGTGTCTAGCCTGTGCTGGGCACCAGGCATAAAATGTTACCCTTACCCTCAAGGACCTCTGACAAAAAGCAGTCAAATGACCAAATAAATAATCTATCAGTGAAGAGAAGCTAAGAGGTTTATTAGCTCTATCATTTTTTTAAAAAAAACAAAAACAAATTCTCTTTAGCAGAGTAAAAAAAAAAAGAAAAGTCCATTTTAAGAAACTAATAGGTTTATATTTAAAATAAATCTTCTTGAGTATCCTAGCAGTGTTCTTATATTTTACAATAAAATATACTTAATAAATTTATTCTGTATTGAAAAGAAAAATAAGTATTCACCCTGGGTCATGACACAAAATGTATTTTTTATTGTGGGTTACTGTCAAAAAGGTTTGACAGCCACTGCCTACATCTGTATCCCGTAGTCTTCTGGCCTGATTTTAAGTAAATACTAGAAAGATTTTTAGGCATTCATCAGAGAACAAAAGGTGGAAAACCACACAACTCATTTAATGAGGCTAGTATAACCATTATAATAAAACCAGACAAGATATAGTAAAAGGAAAAAAAAAGTATGAGTCTTACGAGCATAGATGAAGAATTCCTAAATAAAATACTAGCAAACAATCTAGCAATGTATAAGAAAAATAGTGTCTCATAACTAGTCTGGGTTTATTCCAGAATGTAAATATGCTTTTATATTAGAAAACATACTGATATAAATCATCATATTAATATATTTAAAGGAAAACAAAGCATATTTTCATCTCAAAATATGAAGAGACCTATGAGTTTATGTAAATATTTTGGTGGTTTTAAAGAATATCCACAAATTCTATGTGAATGTGGGCTAGACTTAGTGACTCTCTCCCAATGGGCAGAATGTGGCGGCAATGACGCTGTGGGACTTCCGAGGGTAAGTCAAAAAAAGGACAGCTTCCTCCTGGCTCTCTTTCTCTCTTAGATTGCTCAGTTTGGGAGAACCCAGCTGACATGATGCAAGGATACTCAAGTAGTTCTGTGGAGTGGCCCACATGGAGAGGAACTCAGCCCCCTGTCCCCCCCTCCCCGCAACAGCCAATACCAACCTGCCAGACATGGCAGTGAGCCATCATGGAAGCAAATCCTCTGGCCCCAGTCAAGACTTCAGATGACTACAACTCTGACTAACATCTTGAGTTCAACCCCATAAGAGACCCTGAGCCAGAATCACTCGGCTAAGCAACTATTAAATTCCTGACTGGCAGAAACTGTACAAGATAATAAACGTTTATTACTGTGTTTTTGTTTTTTTAAAAAAACTGATACAAGAAGAAATAAAAAACTTAAATAGACTATAACCATAAAAAAACTTGAAACAGTAAAAAACAAAACAAAAAAACCTGTTGTCTATTACCCCTTGGGGAAAAAGTAATAATCCCAGGCAGCTTTGCAGTTCTATTTAATCAAGTTTTTAAGAAACAGATAATATCTCTGTTTTACAAGTTGTTCCACAAAACAGCAAAAGGGAAAGCTGTCCAATTTATTTTAAATGATAACCAGAATGGAGACTGAACATAGACAGTACAAGAATATTACAGGTCAATTTCACTTATGAGTATATACACAAAAATCCTAAATAAAATATTAGCTAATCTATTTTTAAAATACACACACACACACACACACACACACACAACCCCCTTCTTTGCCACTCCTTGGAGGTGACTATTAGTAATTAAAGTGAAAATGCAGTCAGAGTAACCAAACAGACCTATTTATGAAGGAAAAGCTCCCCTTTATAAAAGAATGAGACATACAGTACAATGCCATGTATGTATATAAAACACATACACACATAAATATGTGAAAACTTGAAAAATGTAAACACATGTAGGACAGACAAAAGTATGTATGTTAAAAATGCAAAAGTACTTAATGCAAGACTGGGAAGAGGAATGAAACTAAAGATGGGGTATAGGGAAAAATACACACAAACACACATATGCACACAACTAAAGAATGATCTTTCAAGAATTGATGATGGAGGTGGGCCATAAGTTAAGAAGTACGAGCAGGTGAATTCAGTGAAACTGATGTCTTTAAAAGTAACAGAAAAGGAAAAAAAATCCTACAGGAGACAGAGAAAAGCCAAAGGCTCAGAAAAAATGATTATTCAAAAACTATACAACTAACAAGGAACTTGGTATTTTTTAAACAAGAAAACAGTGTTCTGATTCATTTATTTTTAAAACTGCAATATGCAACACAAGCTTATTAAATAAAGATATAAACACTGATGTATTTCAATCTTAATACTCTACCAATAAGGAAAAGGGAAATGAGCTGAAAGAAATAACAATGAAGCAGACCAGGAGAGGAACCAGCTTCTTCATCTTTAAACCTTTTAGAAATATCAGCTCTCAGGACAATTTTGTTGTAGTTTTGCAACATATACAGCAGTTACTATCTCTGGTATTCGTTCCCTGGACTAGATGAAATTAGTCCACAAGCTAACCCTGAAATTTTAGGTCCCTAAAGGACAACGGCCATGTCAAACTAAAATACTATGTAAAAGCACCCAGCTCAAAATTATTTTAATGCTTCCTGATATATAATTAGATTGTCCTCAGTACCTCTATTATTTCAGCTTTTTGGTCTAGCACTGCTATCAAAATGAGTAACAGAGAAAAAGAATGAGACTAAGTCAGATCACTGCCAAAATAATGTATTAATATTATTTCCCTTATTAGCACTGAGAGCAGAAGGCTATAAGCTTTTCTTTCCACTCTTATACTTTTGAATACTAATATACCTTTAGAAGTTTGATTGACCTACAGAAAGGTATATAGAGTTAAAATCAGGAATCACAGTCATCTTTAAGCTTTATACAGTATGGCACAGAAAATGTGTTCAACAAATGTTTGTTGAAATTAATTACTGATTTAACAAAAAAAGTAAATTGGTGGTTCATATATGTTAATAAACATAATTAACCTGAAGCTCTCTCGAACAAATAAAATAACTATGTATTAGCACATCTGAAAAAAGACAATTCCAAATAAATGATAAGATCAGTAATTTTTAAGATACATGAATAAAAAATATGCAAAACATATTGTCAACTCACTCATCTCAGATACATCTGAGCTGAATAGAATATATGTCTCTTATAAATGGATATATTCTTATCCTTACCAATGGGGGATTCTGGAGTTAGCCCCATGCTTTGAAGCAATGCTTCAGCTTCTCTCCTTTTTTTCTCAAGATCTGATTCTTCTTGCACAGGAGCAACTGCTTCCTTCTTCTGATCAGTCTAAATTTTTTAAGTTAAAAACTTAAGTTTACATATGGTACACAGCATTTCTCTTTTCAAAAAATGTATTTTGAATACACATTGTACTCATTAAATGAGAATTATTCTGAGTAGAGTTCTAGTAAGTAATCTCCAAATCATATGTACTAAATTGATTCATTTTTATATGCAATCAAAGAGCTCCCACAAAAGTTTTCCTAACAGATAAATTCTAAAAGTACAGTCAACTTCTAATTATCTACAGTATTACATTTCTATCCACAGTTAGGAATTGCAAAAATCTCCCCCAGTGGCACAAAAGCTTAGATATAAATATCACAACACTATGAAAAAAAAATAAGATGAAGTTATTTAAAAGGAAACAAGCCCGCTGGGCATGGCTCAGTGGTTCAGTGTCGACGTAGGATCCAGGAGATCATGATGGTTCAATTCCCGGTCAGGGCACCTGCCTGGGTTGCGGGCTCAATCCCCGGTTGGGGGAGTGAAGGAGGCAGCCAACCCATGATGACTCTCATCATTGACGTTTCTATCTCTCCCTCTCCTTCCTCTCTCTGAAATCAATAAAGATATATTTTTAAAAAGTAAAAAAAATAAAACAAATTTTAACTAAATGGATAATTTGATTTTTTGAAAAAAGTATGAGTACCTCAAATTTCTGTTATGAAGCTTTCATTGTATTCATGCAACTTTATGTAAAGATGTTTGTAAAAACTGCATCTGGAGAAAGCTTTTTAAAATTTTTTTAAATTATATGTGTTAGCCCTGGCTAGTTTTGCTCAGTAGTTAGAGCGGCAGCCCACAGACTGAAGGGTCCCGGGTTCAATTTGGGCCAAGGGCACATACCTTAGTTGCAGGCTCAATCCCTGGCCCTGGTCATGGTGCATGTCGGAGGCAACCGATTGATGTGTCTCTCTCACATCAACGTTTCTCTCTCCCCCACTCTGAAAAGCAATGGAAAAAATATCCTCGGGTGAAGATTAAAAAAAAAAAATTATGGGTGTTATTTTACGATAAAACATGTGGTTAGGTTTGGAAAAATTCACTTTTGCATAGTTCAAAACATTTCTTTAATTAAACTTTTGCCAACTTTTATTTTAGACATTTGTAGTTTTAATAAAATCTTTCAGTTAAACTAGATAAGCCTCAATACTCTCAGATCATCCAAAACATTTCAAGTGAAATTTAAGCCTTCAAGGGAAAAGTTCTATATATGCAGTTCTGTCCATTTATCCATGGTTTCACTTTCTGTGGTTTCAGTTACCTGCGGTTAACCTTGTTCTGAAAATATTAAGTGGAAAATTCTAGAAATGAATAATTCATAAGTTTTAAATTGCATGCCATTCTGATTAGCACGATAAAATATCACACTCCATCCAGCCTGGGATGTGAATCATCCCTTTGTCCTGTGTGCGTGCGTGTGTGTGTATACATGCTAATTGCCTATAAGTCAATTAGTTACCGTCTCAGTTATCAAATGGACTGTCGTGGTGTTGAAGTGTTTGTGTTCAAGAAACCCTTTTTTTATTTAATAATGTCTCAAAGCACAAAAGTAGTGATGCTGGCAATTCGGATATGCCAAAGAATAGCCATAAAGTATATCCTTTAAGTGAAAGGGTGGAAGTTCTCAACTTAATAAAGAAAAACAATTGTATGCTGAGGTTGCTAAGATCTGTGGTAAGAACGAATATTCTATCCATAAAGAAGGAAAAAGAAATCTGTGCTAGTCTGCTGAGATAACACATTCACATAACTTTTATTGCAATATATTATTATAATTGTTCTATTTTATCATAGTCATGTGCTGCATGTTTCTGTCATCAATGAACCAGATACACAACACTGGTCCCACAAGATTATAATGGAGCTGAAAAATTCCTACCTCCTAGTGATGTTATACTGTAATGCATTAAGCATGTGTTTGTGGTGATGCTGATGTAAACAAAACTACTGTGTTATCAGTCATATAAAAGTACAGTGTATATAATTATGTATAGTACATAATACTTGATAATAATAAATGACTTACTGGTTTATATACTTTTTATCATCATTTTAGAGTGTACTATTTCTACTTATAAAAAACAAGTTTACTATAAAACAGCATGAATGTTACACTGGCAGCAGCCTTCATACATCTCTTGTTTACCACGTATTTATAAGTATGTACTGTGCTAATTTGATGTCGTTTTGTTTTGTACAGTAACATGCTCTATAGGCTTGTGGCCAGGAGCAATAGGCTATACCATATTGCTGAGGTGGGCAGTAGGCTATACCATCTAGGTTTGTGTAAGTATTATACCTATGATATTTACACAAGGATGAAATTGCCTAACGACAAATTTCTCAGAATATAGTAACATCAGTAAGTGGTGCCTGAGTGTATCAATTATTGTTGTTAATCTCGTCTATGCCTAATTTAGAAACTGAATTTTATCATAGGTATGTATGTATAGGAAAAAACATAGAATTTATAGGGTTTGGTACTGTCTGCGATTTCAGGCACACACTAGGAGTCTTGGACCCTATCCCTCGCAGATAAGAAAAGCCTACTGTATACCTCAAATGCCTATTTCGACTAGACAACTATTACTCATACAATAGTCTGCAGTGAATTTTGTTAGTCATAATAGTCTATGATACCATTTTAACTTAAAAAATTCATCAAAAATTTCATCAAAATAGCCAAACAGGCTGTATTATCAAGTTGACACTTTACTTATATAACACAATATATTAGTAGACTCATGGTTTAATACTATTATCTCTTGTAATGTTTTACAAACTTTAAATTATATACATAAATCATGTAATAGATATTCCTTAGAGGCCACTTATGACCATCCTTAGAAAAAAAACAAATTTGCTCCCAGGACTGAAGGGTTTAAAGCTATAGATACTACTTTGTAATGGCTTTGCCAGTATGACTCATGCTTCTACCACGTAGCTTTTAATGAAACAGCTAACAGAAAGCTCCGACCTTCTTATAATAATGTATCACAGAAAGGTTCAGAACACACTAGAAAATTCTTCAATTACAGGCCTTCACAGCATCATTGCAATGCCACAAAGAAACCATATCTTTTATTTTTCTACTTCTATTTTAATTTTTTCCCCTAAGAGGTTCCTGTAAGTTTTGGCTATTGTTTAGGCCAGGGGTGGGGAACCTTTTTTCTGCCATCAGGATATTCATAACATCATTCCCGGGCCATACAAAATTATCAACTTAAAAATTAGTCTGCTATATTTTGTCAAACATTTAATTAACTCTTCCCTAATGTGATGGTTGGAACTGCTTCTCTTTGGTGAGGCCTTGGCAGGGCCAGACCAAATGACCAAGGTCCGTATACGGCCCCAGCGATAGACATTCCCCACCCCTGGTTTAGGCTATCACATAGAAAACCTTGGTATGAATGTCACACTTAGGACAAATTTTCTTACACTGGCCATTTAAAACATATCTGTGGTGAAAGTATATAAATTTATCCAAAGAGCTCCCATAGACATAAATGTACATTTCAATACAGGAGCATGTAAAATATCTCCAGCTCAGGGTCAATGTATATTTGCCATACATGGTTAAACAGAGATGTCAAAAATCAGAAGACAAGTTCCTGGTCCACCTTTATCAAACCCATAACTCGGTAAAAATATTTCAATGACTAACTCATGATAAAGGAGATAAAAACAAATCCCCTGATCAATTAAGTACTCTGATTTCTCTTTGCCATTAATACTATCTTGACAAATTATTAGCAGTTTAGACTAATAAATTTTCAGATAAATTCAAAATTCAAACTAAGTTATGATATACTGTATATGCCATGTTTTATGAGCACATGCCCCTTACTTTATATAATAAACATATTCCTAGAAAACTAAATATGTAAGTTGAACTTTTATAAATCAAATACTAAAAATGCATCAATCTACATGAAATATTTTTATTTAGTAAAAAGAAAATCATATTTTAGCTGGTCAATTTTGTCATTTTTGGTACTATCTGTGGTTCCCGGCATCCACTGGGGGGTCTTGGACTCTATCCCTTGCAGATAAGAAGAGACTACTGTACACCTCAAATGCCTATATCAACTAGACAACTATTACTCATGCAATTGTATGCAGTGAATTTTGTTGGTCATACTTGGTTTCTTTAAAGTAATATTCACCTATAGTGCTATACTTTGCAGTCACAACTGCTGGATTTTTTTTTTTTTTTAATGATTCTGAAGCTTTACATAAAGGTATAAGCACTTGAAATAAAATCCAATTATTTTATATTAAGTTTATTTTTTAAAATCATACATACTTCCTTTTTTTTCCTTTCTTCTTCTTTTCTCTTCTTTTCCTCTCTGATTTGGGCCAACCGCTGCTTCTTACGTTCCAACTCTGCCTTTAGTTCACTTTTGTCCGACATGTTTGTGACCTTAAGAAGCATATAATCATATACAATAATCGTTACATTGGTAAAAGCAGCATTCTTTTAAGAAATTTGTCTTCAAGGAGAGAAATGTCTCAAGAGACAATGTAGTTCAATGCTATCTAAAAAGAACATATAACTCTAATTTTAAAATAATGGAAGCATATCAATTTCTTGGACTTGAAAAACATTATAAACTAATGTATATAAGGAATATTATTCAGAGTTAAGCATAGTAACTAGCACATATCTCTTTAATGTTCACATGTCCAAATTTAACACAGTATCTCTGGCTTTTTAAAAAAATTTATCTTTATTGTTGAAAGTATTACAGATGTCCCCCTTCCCTCCCCAATGATCCCCTCCACCCC